AGTAGTAGTAGTACCAGTAGTAGTAGCAGCAAGGATCGTGCCAGCCAAGCATGTTTGAAGCACTGAAGGCCTGCACCTGGACAGACGAAAAATGACAAAGACGCAACCAAGCAACATCGTTCCTGACGAGAGTGGTTGGACATGTCTCGTTTCCGAGATGAATGCTAGGTAAGAAACAACCTTTTTCACTTGAATCGCTATCAACCCCATGTGAAACAACCCTGGGCCGCAAAAATGCATACAGCCCTAAACCCTTGGCTCTCCCTGCTGGTGATATCCCAAGCTCCACACCCATCCTTCCTAAGATCTGGAACTACCCCAAACCCCGAAAGCCTCCACCGCAACCCTGAACCCTCAATTCCAGTCTGGTGCTTGCTCTTGAATCGCAGTGCTCGAATCCTGATCAAATCTCGAACCGCGATCATACATGGGGTTGCACAATGATGCTGCATGTCATTGAACCTACCCATGTGCTCAGGCGTCTCGCTTCCAAGTTATGCAAACATCCAAGATGCATCGCTCCAATCATCCGATGCACAGCAACACAGGGATCAAAGGCATTAACACTCTTGCGTAATGGAGGCGTGCTTCAAAGCGCCGGTGTTCGGCACGCTTTGGTGACACCTACAAGACTAGAAAACGCCACGTGTGCTTTTCCGGGGTGTTCCAGACGGCCTGAATACCAAGCACAACGAAGAACTGGCGCAGATGACTTGAGATCTGTGGCACTGGCCCAAAGGCTTCCAGTCGAGCCACTTCTCGCGAGAGCCGGCAGGCTTCGACAGCTCGGGCCTGTTTCTGCGACGTCACGTGCATTCACACCCGTCACGCAACAACCGCAGACGAGCCCTCGATTGAGCGTTCTCCGCGTGTTCATTCTCCCGAAACGATCCAATGGAGTCCTCAACGCCGAACGCGAATTTGGAAACATCGCATGTTTTAAATGCAGTCCTGTGCGGCAGATGCTGCTTGGACGCTTGTCTGCCTGTGTACCCAATGACTTGGGCGAGACAGAACACAAAGGAATGTTCGAACCGGCATACGAGAAAGCTTCTTGCGCTGGATGCGTTCTCCCTTAAAACATGCCGTGCTCAGACAGGACCATTTCCGCAAGACTACCTTGACTGTCCAGCAGTCGCCTCTTTGATGCCGGACGCACCGTAACAACCTTTGAAACAAAGAACTCGAAACTGCTGTAGCGGACTTGCGCATTCTCTCACCAGAAACAGCTCAGTCGAAATCCTGTCGAAGATTCGGCCTGTCATGGAGTTATGTTCAACGACTGGACAAGCAGAGACGAGAAGCTCGTGACGGAGAACCTGCAACCAGCCACTTCCTTGAGGATGTCTTGACCATCTCGAGTAGCGGCCTGCGAACGTTGTCCAAAATTGTCTCACACTTGCTTGGAACATCTTGGAACAACACCGGCAACTGGAAAGACCTGCACCCAACCTTCCACTGGATGCGTGATCCTTGCATGCAATGGCTTGAAAGTGAAATCATTTGACACCCTTCTTTGAGGGGAGGTTCAAGCCCAACATGCCCACTACAAGACAAGATCGAGGGATGTGAAGATGCACGAATGAGATCTTGGTGAGTGATGCCTTCATTCCTTCATTTCTGTAGCTGCTTTGCTTGTGTGTCACGGGTTGTGTCCACCAGCTGCCAGCTGCTGTGATCTTTGTCGACAGCCTGTGTACGAGCATCTATCTGCGTTAGCCACGTCGTGCAAAGTTTGGGAAATGCTGCGAGCTCGGCGGCCGTTACACGGACATCATCCGGCGTCATACGTCGGTCCGCGACAAGCATCACAACGCGCCACACGAACGACTTCCGCAGCGACCCGTGTGATCAGCGGTACACAAGACAGTGCAGCTACGGGGAGGTCACCATGGCGTTTTGACAGAGAACTTCTTGCTGGGTGCTATAACCATGCTCTGCAAGTGTTCAACAAACCCCGCCCTCTCTGCTTGGCTTCAGCAGCATCCTCTCGAACCTCCCCCGAGACAATTCACCATGCGCGCCCAAACAACAACTCTCTGCAGCTAACCAGCGTGAGGGGCTCGCATGAAATCTCCTGTTCTGCGGAGTGCTGGACCAGCGACACTTGTCTGTGAAGTAAGCTTACGTACGCGATTCGAGCTTGCTGAATTAAGACTTGACCCCACAGAGTCCTAGATAGTGCGAGGAAAGCTTTCGTGCAGGTGCCAAATTTTGGACTGATGGTTGGCGTAGCACGCGCGATGGAAGCCCGGAAGCCCCGATCCTCGACAGAGGATTCACAGACAGTATCGCCGAAGCCTCAAGGCCGCAAGGCCTGTTCCAGGTTAGAAGTGTTTACCGTCTATGTTTGCTGCTTCGGACTTGGGGTGGAGCCCGAAACCTCAGGCTGAAGAAGAAGCGCGTTCAGCTTTGCTCTTGTCGGATGTGTAAGGTTCGGGCTTCAGCCAGCGACCTTGGCGAGGACCCATTCCAGCCATGACCTGAAGAGTCTCACCTGGCACCTGAGACGCCTTCCAGAAGCTCCCAAGCCTCGTCGTGCAAGCGAAGTGTGAACATTGCGCTGCGGCTGCCCCTCCCAGGTCCGCTCTCAACGCCTCGATCTTTCGAGGAAAACGAAAACGAAGTTCCCTGCACAGCTGCAGTGTCCAGCCTAGGGAGGTCCCTGCATGGCTCCCAGGCGGCCTTGCGGATGCATTGGATGCAGTCCTGTTTTAGCCTCACATCTCCTCACCCTTCTCTCGGCTAAGCCCGGAACTGCACTCGGAGTCTCGGAACGTTCTGCATCACCTTCGAGGAAGCACTGATAGCAGGCTCGACGGCTCGGCGATCCATCCGAGAGGCTCACAGATGTCACCTCGAGATCCTCCAAGGCTTCAAAGGATTGTGGCAGCGTGCGGATATTACTTGCGACTCTTCCCGTGTGCATTGCCGCCTGGCCGTGCACTTGAATGGAGCTTTGCATCGTGGACGCAGCGTGGGCATTTACCTCTCAAAACAGCCAACTCTTGTATGTTGGGTGGCAGTCCCACACTGACATGTCATTGCCAGAGGGCGGCAGCAATGTAAGCTGTCGACACGTATAGTTACTCCGCTACCTGAACAACAGAAATCAAGCCACGCCAGGCAGACAGCACAGGAATCGCAGCATAAAAACGCAGGAGCTCCATGTTTTGGGGCACTTCTTGGATTCGCCGCATGAGAAACGGCGGTCTGACGATATCCGAATAAACACAGCTTTCGCATTCATCTTGTCAGCTTGAATCCTGAAGCAGTAGAGCGACTTCATCTCATCCGACAGCCGTCAATGTTCTCGAGGTAGTGCGTTCATGCGCAGGACCCAGTGTCCATGGAAGCCGGGCTTGCAAATACCATCTCCAGCTGGAAGTCGCTCAGGCAGAGGGCAACATCTTGGCGAGGCCATCGCGGCTGACTTTCAACGTCCGGAGTCCAGAGCTTGAGTGAAGATTCCCGACTTCAGATCACGCTGTACGGATGTCCATTCCCGAACTCGCCCATTCATGCACACCTGCCAACTTGCTTGGCGAATACGAGCCGTCAACTAGAATGCAACAAACTTTCTGCAAAGCTCTCTACTGATCAAGTTGCACAATGCCATGCTGAGATGCGTAGATACCAGGCATTGCCATGTCCAAAGCGCCAAAGCACACACCTTCGCATTGAAATTACAAACAACTCCGCAATACGACGCTGAAGTATCTGTAAATTTGTGTGGCTTTAGATAACCGCGTGCCCTGTTGCCGACAACGCACTATATATCTAGAAAACTATCTCGGAATTTGCCCACTCAACCAAGATGCCCATATTGAAGTGAGCATCCGTGTCCACGAATTTTTCTGGAAGCATTGCGCCGGTCAGACAAATTCGCTTGGTGGCCAGGTTTCCTCGCAAAAAGACTCAAGGAACACGCACGTTGCAACGTCCAATGCTCTTATCATTCAGAACACGTATCATTCTAAAAGCATGTGCAAACAATCAAGCACACTGTATTTCATTGTACCGTGTTTGACGCATTAATCAGGCACAGTCCTGCGCGATGGCCCAAGTAACAGGCGGTTTCGACTAAGGTGTCGGTGCCGTGGGTTATGATGATCTGCAAGAGGTCTTGCTTCTTGTGCACTTGTAACGTGTACATCATTACATCCGACAGCCGACAGCAACAGCAGCAATGCAGCCTGATCGCCAGGCCACTCCTTAACACAATGCTCAATCGGCTGCTAGTGGCAGCAAACCATGCGCAGAAAGCAAAAGCAAAATTCTTTTGCTGCTGATCTCTTGAAACTAATCTAGATGCCGCTCTGGGACAGACTTCATTAATGTCCAAACAGATGTCGGTTGTCAGCATCATCGGCTCTCCAGGTGCAAATTCTAGGGCCTCCACCTCGCAAGCGTTTAGGATCTGTGATCGATCTGCGTCCGAAATCTCCTTTGGCACTTCCACATGTGTTAGATCCCGTGCACAGCGACTCTCTGTGGCGACTGAAGTTGAGATGCTTGTCCTGCGAGTCTTTGGCGCAAACGCTCTGGACTTCAAAGCTGAATCCTGGAACAGAGGCGACATCTTGTTCCCCGGCTACCCCTGTCAACTGCCCTTGCTGACAAGGTCCCCCTTGAGAAAGCTGAATAAGCCATGTTCGGGCAAATAGCTTGCGACATGTTGTGCGACTGGTACAACATGATGCCAATGACCGGAAGTCCACTCACAGAGCCCCTGCCTGCCGGAAAGATTCGGTCCAATATCCTGGAACGCGGCTAAGCAAAGCAAAAAGGAATGGATGCAACATGACAAAGCCTGCGGCTAGGCACCGACCAGCTGCGGGATCCCCGATTTCGAAGCCCCAGCCACCCGTCAATCGAGGATATGCCTGGACGCGGTCCTACCCTTGCACCACGCCGAGCTTGTTATAACGCTTCTGCCACTTTCTGCTACTACTCTACCACTATCACTATTGCTATTGCTATTACTACTACTGCTGCTAGTACTACGACGACCACCACTACTACTACTAC